TTTTTGGTTTTTGGGCCATGAACCACATTACCTTGGTGATGCAGTGTCCACTGCAGATGGTTGTCTCCACTGGATGACAGCTGGGACAGCCCTCCTTCTCCAGAGACACTGTCTGGTTGATGAGCTGACAGGACGGCAGCTGGAAGGCCGCTGATGGTGGAACAAGTTTTTATTTGGTTCCAAAAACAAAAGCCTAAAACTTGTTACAGATTTTGATGTTTGTGATGTTTGTGGTAATACAGGATATTATGTAGCTTTTAAATTTGTTTTTATGTACAAAACTGGAACAACACAACTGGAACACAACCATTAATTCTATATTTTTGTTTGTTTGTTTTCTATTATTATACATTTCCTTTATAAAAGCCTTGCACACATATAAATATATATTATCAGCATTTTTAATATAAGAATGACAGAATCCTCCACCTTTTTCACAATATTTCCAATAACATCTTAGATCAATATAAGCTTCCTACAATAATCATACAGTTCTCTTACCTGCAGGAGATAAGATGAAAGTTGAAGCTCCAACAAACAAACTCAACATCAGTGCAAGGAGCATTCTGCTAATCTGTGCCATCATTCTGTAGGCGTCAAGTTGCATTAGTTAGTCACTTAGTTAAGTATTCCTTAAGACTTTTCAGCTAGCAAACATAATGATGGGGGGAATTGTACAAAATAATTTTTAGACTATATTGGGTGTAATTCTAGTTTCAGTGAGAAAATTAAAAGGTATTGTCCCCTTATTGTGTTCATGTTTCAGATTAAATAAAGAATAAGCCTTTAATTGGGTGTTACACCACTATCCCTGGTGTAAATCTGTGTCACTAACATATCTATACATAAGTAAAACATAAAATATATGCACAGAAATCATTAATAACTCATCTAATATCTATTAATTAGGTCAGCATATACTGCAAAAACGCCAGCTTTCCTATTAACAATTTCAATTTCTTGAGCTCCGTATTTATAATACTGGAGCTGGAAAACAGAATAAAGTTTTAAAGTTAATAATATAGATATGGAAATATCTATATAGCCCTCCAGATTTAAACAGCATTCATATAAATCATCTGTCTGCTAGTAAGAGCAGCATGTCTTACCTCTCCGGTGGCTGCAGGCAGTGTCTGGAGGTAAGCTGCCCAGCTTTATAAAGGACACAGGAGTCAAGTATCTAGTACCAAACAAACTCGTATAGGATATCATTGTTAATCCCGACTACCTGTTTTTATTAGAAGGATAAAACATTTAAACTTTTTTTTTACTCACAAGCTGGCAGAAGTATAATTTTAAGAGGAAAAATGATTTTTAAAACCTTTTTTGACACAGAAGCACCAAAAATTTAAATGGTTTTCACCCAGTTCTAAACATGCAGTCTTCGCTTTAACCATTAAAAATAAAAGTCGGTTCAGAGAATGCTTAAAGATCTGTTCAAATATTTTTTATAATATATTTGACACAAAGTTTAAACAATGTTTTACACTGTTTATTAGTCTACACCTCTTCTTTCTAGTCATT